ATGAGCCCAATTATTAGTCCACAACATAGGGATCATTCCTGCCAATAGCGATCTGCGAGTTTAGTGCAAAAACGCATGATCGCGCCGGAGAGGCTGGTGCGTTCCAGCCTGGGTTTAAAATTTGTTAGGATCGATTGGTATATACATGTGAAATAAAAAAAAAATATGGCTTTCGGCGGAGTTTGAAGAATTTACTGAAGAGAATGATGCAGCGAGAACGCATTGAATATCACTCCATGACGATTTGCAGCAAATGCTTTTTCGTATGAGCGGTTACTTTTTATGACACGGCGAATAACAAAGATGTTTGGGTAGAATACTTTGTACCTCTTGCTTACAGCTGATTGACGCATCAGTGAAAAATCGTTTAGCTAGCCTATGGGTAGGTAGAACGTATGGGTAGTAAGATCGTTAAATGCAGCCTTTTTAAAGCAAGAGAGTTTTCTGGTTTTCGACACACTACACCAATAAAAAATAGAAAAAACCAAGGCGAACTAGTTTTTGTGTTCAGTACGAAGACTTTCGCATATATATGCATATATTTACAAAGTTGTAAAAATTTTAAAGATACAAGCAATGAATATCCCTAGCTAGGAGGTTGGAAGAGGACAAGGACCTGAAATCGTCTACGTGTTAACTTGTGCAGTTTGTTTGGTGTTGTTAGCCCACCGTTGGCCCAAACATACATCCACATACATTCGATGGTTGACAATAAAAATTTTTGAAAAATGAATTCCTTGAATTCAGGCAAATGATAAACAGGCGAAACATAAAATCTTCTAGTTTATTGGGTGGAACATTCTGCAGTGCAGCACTATTCAAAGGAAGGTGGTGTTGGGCAGTAGTTTAAATTAGTAGAACAATAGCAATAACACGTAATAATTTTCAAATAGCAATAACAAGATTAGCATTTCCGTGGGAAATCCAACAATTTGCGCATAAAAAACAGCCATGAAGATTGGAATACGCTGGACAAGACCACGTACACGTGGAACCCCTGCTCGCAGCGAATGCAGATTTTTATGCAAATGTGTGTTGCGTTGCAGTGTCGTATTACACATGAAATCGATAGCCTGCCTACAGCAGGACGTGTGTTATAACGCTTGATATAAAAGTACTAGGTGTGTGGCTGTATCTCAGTCAGATCTAGCAGGAGGGGAGAGGGGAGGCACTCACTAACTGTTCGGATGATTTTCGTGGTTTAGGCCGCCAGTAATCGTAATTAGTCTGTAGTATAATTATGAGAAGGCTGTTTCTAGTCGTTGCGGAACGAAATTGAGTCTTTGTTTGAATGAATTTCTACGGGAATTTTGAGTTGCTTGAGTTTTTGCGCATTTGTAAAATTCTGAAGGCTTTAATTTTTGCGTTTTTTTTTCAGTTATTCGGACGGAGGAGCGCTCAGAACAAGCAGCGACGAGGATGATACCTCCACCACTGAAGAAATCTTGCCCTATGCCGCCGACAATGGAACATCCCATGGGTCCAGTGAGCAATTTATTTTTTGCTTTTCTTGGAATATTTTCGCCGGTTCCGATTGCACCACTCACTTTTTCCTTCAATTTGAATGTTGGATAATCTCTTCCATAGTGACCCTATCTGGCAGGCGGTAACGAGCTCTGAGGGAGCCGCATTTGAAACCTGCATTTTCCAGTTTTATTTCTTATCAAATACTAGCTTCTTGAGATTGGGGAACAATCTAAATAACGTGTTTAACGGAGATATGTTAGGAAGGACTATGTGTTTCATCCCTTAGCTGTAAACATAGACAAAATGTAGTGTGCGGGTAGAAATGGGAATACTCAATACAGCGTTTTTCCATCATACATTCGGTAAGCATTTGCCTAGTTGCGCAAGACTAAATAAAAAGAAGATGCTGGGAGAAGAGGTATTTCTCGAACTGTACCTCCCGTCCTCTTTCCATTTAACCGTTTTCTGCAATTAGATCATAATAATTTATGATAATTAGTCCTGTCAGTCTAAGTATTGTAACCAATCTAGTAAATTATAGTGAAAAGTATTTAATAATAGTAATAAATACAATAAGAAATAATAGAAAAAAGAAAACTGAATTGGAATGTTTCGATCAATTAAGTTGCATACGTTCCCGATCAGTACCACAACTGGACTTCGTTCTGCATTCCTTCTCATTCACTGCTTATAACCGACAAAAATTGAGAAGAAATTATTCCGTTATTTAATGGCGTTATTTTTTTTTTCTTTATAAATTGAGCTTCAAAGAAACGATGCTGCTTGTTCAAAAGTTTGCTGTGGACTTCAAAATATTCAAGAAG